CTCGGTAGGGGAGTTTGATCTGCATTTTCTTGCCGTTGTTTTGCAGCGCCGAGTTGGCTCAACTGACTTAGGACTCTTGTAGCTTGGTCTCACCCTCGTCGTTTTTGCTTAGCTTTAGCTTAGCTTGTGCCATGGACCGCAGCCCTACCCCTCCTCCACGATCAGGTCTCGCCCCTATGCCACACGGCTTGCCACCTTTCCCACCGGTTCCTCCCCCTCCACCCAGGGGCCCATCACTGCCGTTCCTCCATCCCTCTTCTCGTCCTTTGCATTATGGGCACTGGCCTCCGGCACCGGCCCACAGCAACACCATGCCATTGCACCCTACACTGGGCTCCATGCCTGGTCTCACTAAGACAATCTTTCCCAGCCAGTCCTTTACACCTTTGTCTGGCTCACCTGGTAGCCAGAACAGAGCATCTGCCCCCGAGCCACTCTCTCCGGCTCCTACTTCAGGCTATTCCCCAACTCCACCAGCACCTGTGGTCTCAGGAGGACAAAGCACTGCCACACCCCATCCTCCCAACACTCTGCCTGTGCCCGAGGATTGGCTGCAGGACCATGATTACTTGGACACTCGTCGCAGCATTGGCAACCTCAGTTGTCCTCGGTATGTCGTCTCGTCCGCTTGGGCTCGAGAAAAAGGACTCGCTGGCATTCCTGTCACCAACCTGCATCCTGCCCACTTCCTCTATCAGGGATGGAACAGCTATTGGCTTCGATGGATCGCAGCAGGCAAAGAAGCCTACTTCATTGTTGCTCGCACCAAAGCCGAAATGGTACTGGCAGGGGAGCTACTCTCACAAATCCGGGCTCAGGGCCTGGACATTGATGCAGCTGCTACCAACCTTGCAGTCCAAACCCAAGCTTCACAGGCCAAGAACATCGCTGTAAAAGCCTTGGGCCAGTTTCTTGTCGACCAGGTAAAGAGCAAGATACCGGTCGAGACAGACTACGAGTTTCACGCCCGAATTCGTGAACTCGAAGGCCAGATTGGCAACCTCCAACAACAGCTCAAACAACAGCAGCAATCTGCTGGTGCTCCCTCTGCCAACCCCACCGGGGTGGGGGCACCCGGTCCTTCTACTCCTCCCCCATCCCGTGGCAGCAACGCCGACCGTTCCCCCCTTGCCACGCCAGCCGAGTCATCCACACCGGGCTCCACAGCCAAGCCCAAGTCCGGTACTTGCAGGACAGAACCTGCGACAGCTACCCCTGCAATTTAGCCCCGGCTCCAACCTGGGCACTCCTGCTAAGCCTGAGCCTTCCTCCATCATGCAACCACCCCAAGAAGGCTCACCCTGGCTCGCCTCTCATTTTCCACGATAAAGAACTCAGAGCATGGATCAATTCTTTGACCTTGAATGATCGCAAAAAATCCGAGTTGCAGGACTGGTTGAAGCAAGTCGAAGACTGGGTCGAGGCCCAAGACACTGACGACTTTTTAACAAAGAT